GTTAGTCCCAATTGATGCTTGCTAAACTCACCTTAGAACAACTGAAATTATTCTTTCTCTTACCTTGTGGAGGTGGGAATTACTTTGTTTTCTTGAGGACAAGAGAAAGCTTAAGTTTGGGGGAGTTGATAACTATGGAGTTTAGCCTATCTTATGCTCTCTTTTGCTTAGGTTTTGGATAAAAAATGTGTAAAAGTATTCCCGAAAACAAACTTATTGTGCTTTGGTTGCAGGGTTTGGTCAAATGAAGCAAGAAATCCATAATCAACTTACAAAGGAGTTAAACCTGCACAAGTTTAAAGCTGAGAGAAAAAGTGCTGACAACGATGAAATAGTGCGGTCATGGAAGGACAACCACTAGGGCATCCACAATTACGCTGATAGCGGAATTGAGGTTTAGAGAGGTGTTTTGAAGGTAGACAGGGACCGATGACCGCGGTAAAATTGCACGGCAGTGGAATTACTTGACGCGACCGCAGTCTAAATTCCGCATAGGGTGAAATTGAGAATCACAGGACTGTAGATTTAAGCGCAAATGAAGTGCGCGGTCCACGAACATATTTCACAGCCACGATTGAAGACGTGCTGATGAGGTTGCTTTTCCGCTCCCAGTGGAATCATGTCTAGTCCTAGTCCAAAATAGATGAACCGTGGTCCGTGCTTGCTTATGCGCGGCCGCGTAAGTCCAAAAGCTGAGGGGACCAATTTTCCACTGTCAGCGGAACCGCCGCATGGGCATTTTTTTCCAGTAATTTCAGCTATGTATAAATAGATCTTTTCCAGATTTTTAGGGTATCTTTTGTACTGAAGAGCTTGTGTGCCTCCGTACTTAGCTGTTTTGAGTAATTTTATACTAACTTTAGCTACTAATCTTAGATTTTACTTGTAATCAACATTTATGGCTTATATTTCATCTTCATATTTGATTTCTACCTTGACTATGAGTAGCTATACCAATTAGCTAGGGTTGTGACCCAACCCTAGTGTGGGTATTCAATGGGTCTTCTATTTTAGTGCTTAATTGTTTATGGATTAGGGATATTTCACTTGTTTCATGCTTTAATTGTAGAATTGGTGGTTGCAAACACTGATTTATGCCTTTATGACTTAGACTCTTCTTGAGAAAGCTGGACTAAGTCTAGGAAATTCAGGCTAACAAGGAATTGGGATGCATTCAAGAGATTTGATAGCCCCAATTAAAGAGTTAAACCTAGAGATAGTAATACCCGACTTGAGCCAATTTTACTTGTATTGTTTGAACAGCCAATTGGGCTTGAGAAAGCCAATTAGGGCAAAGTCACTCAAACTACCGAGAGCCATAGAGTGAGTAATTTTTTGTAATGGTTATTTCATGAACTCAAATATAACAAGCTTGTCCTAAATCTTAGATCCCATTAGATACTCGCCTAGGTATAAGTCACTCTCCTAGTGCGTTTTATCTCTTGAGAAAAAACCCTTACAAAAATATTGTACTTAGTTTATTTTCAGTAATCACTAGCATTAAATGTAGTATAGAAAAGAATCCAACATGTTTAGAAGTGCAATTGAACAACACACATAGCTAGATTAGCTAAAAACCCAATTCCCAACTAATATTAACTCCATGTGGATTTTATCTCGACCTTTCGGGTAAAAGCTTCATCGACCACTCTTTGCCATTTTACAGTGGTGTAGGGTTGGAGTCGATCACTTACTATATTGAGAGAGTTGAGTCAGTATCAGCAGGTAAACATATGTTCAGATTATCAGTTCAGTTTCAGCTTTTACTATATTGCCTTCATACTCCATACATTATTTTGTACTAATGTCCCTTTCTGGTGGCGCTGTATTTCATGTGTGCAGGTTCAGACAGACAAATGGGTAGACTTCCTCAGAAGGTGTTGCCCGAGTTCAACTTTATCGATAAGATCTCCGTCCTTCGGAGTTGTTGGGTCTAGCAGTTTTGTGTACATCTTTTGTATATATGTAGATAGTCTATGGGTAGGTCGGGGCCCTGTTCCAATCACAGTATCCATCAGTAAAGGTTTGTAGACATATCCTGTCAGTTAGTGCAGTATGTTTGTCTTGTAGGCCCTGTACGTATATTTTGTTGGCTTGTTAGTTATAGTAGTTATGACGGCCTTGCCGGCCCAGCTTTATGTTTACATTTATTCAGCGTTAGTCTTTATTCAGTTTTATATTTTGCTTCGCAAATTGTCTTGCAATGTGGCCCCTGCCCAAAGTATGACATTATATGTCCAGAATTCCTGAGTCGCAAGGTGGTATGCAAGGATAGATGAGGCACCAGGTGCCGGTCTCGCCCCCAGGCTCGGGGCATATGATGTGCCGTAGAATTTTGGAATATTTGATACCAATTACTTAGATTTTAGCTCGTCTTTTAATGCATTTTTAGTTAATTTTTATCAAGTTTGTTGTTTTGTAGTGCATGAGCTTGAACACCCAAAGACATGGAAAAGAAGTCAAAAAGTCACAAAAGGATGGAAGTGCTACAAGTATGCGAATGCATAAGTCACATGTGGACTACATAACTCAGATGTTGATCACAAACTGAAGCAGAATTGATGGCCAATTGTGGAGAAAAATATGCGATCTATTATGCGGTCACATTACACTTTTGAAAGCCGCATAATGATTGCATAATTCCAGTAGAAGAAACTTCTCAACATGATTTGTGATGGCATAATGCGGTCGCATAAAAGGCATGCGGACCGCATAATCTATATGCGGTGGAAGCCTTGAACTGGTGACTTACAAGTTTGCGATGAGAATGGAGATTACGCGAACCACATACATGGTCTACGACCATTATGCTGTTGCATAAGCTGTCTGCAGGGGCAATATTGTCCGATTTTACCCACGACTTTTGGTCCACTATAAAAAGAATAACTAGGATTTTTGTGGTTCATTCAAGTCTGAGAATGTCTTACATAGAGAGCATTGAATACTCCATTAATTTGGAAGCTTCTGAAGAAGGATTCTTGCACATTTGTAAGCTTTATGACTTTATTTATTACTTTGTTCTTGTATTATACCATGAGTAGCTAGTTTTAAATACTAAGGTTGTGGACCCTAAATGGGTGTAATATTAATGGATGTTTAGCATTAAATATATATATATATAATAGTTGGTTGATTTCATTTCTTTTGCTTTATTTATGGTTGGTGGTTGCAAACATTAATCTATTATATTTTACTCTTTCTTTACTTGGAAAAGTGGGTTAGGGTTTGGTAGAAATGAATATCAAGAACTCAAGATTTTAAATCTTATTTAATAGAATCACATAGAAATAAGTGGATTCTACTTGGCATAAATTGGTTGTTCTTAAATGGCAACTCTTTAATATTTGGAAAAATCATAAAAGGAAAATACTACCCAACCATTGAAAAATATAGGGTAGTTATTTAGAAACCATTTGCATATCGAAGGACCTTCCATTAGAAATTTATCATATTAACACTGATAGCTTTACATTTCATTGTCGAGGACACAACCTTGGTTTTCTTAATCAAATTATTCACATTCTCATAACAAAATTAGTTATCTTCTTAATTCGCAACTATATCAATCTCTTGTTACGTTAAAGCAATAGAATTACGACCTAAGTCAAGTGTCACACTACTCAAGTAATCTTTTCACACCTATTCCATGTGGGATTCGACCCCAACCTTCGTAGGTTATTATATTTGACACCAACTGCTACTATTTAATTAAAGTGTAATTTGAGCGTATCAAATTTTGGTGCCGCCGGGGAATACGGTTTTGAAATTACTAATTAGTGTGTGCTTTACTTTACGTCTTCTTCTATTCCATCACACTTCGCTTGTTTTACATGGTGTTGATAGGAAAACATGGTTGAATATGAGTAAGAAGAAAATTCTTTTGCGGACATAGATGAGTACATTGAGGATACTAATGCTATTGTACCTCCGAGAGTTGACGCTGCCACTTTCAAGGTGGAACATGGTTTAATCCTAACGCTCAAAGCGGAGGGGGTTTATAGAAATTTCACTGATGATGATCAGACACAACATCTCAAAATATTCTTGGGTCTGTGTGCGATGTACAAGCTAAACAACGTCTCAGATGATGCCCTAAGATTGATTGTGTTGAAGTACTCACTGACTGGAGAGGCGAGGAAATGGATTCAAATTCTACCACCAAACTCGTTCCATTCTTGGCCTGAACTTGTTTGAGCATTCTTAGCTAAATGGTTCCCGCAAAGCAAGAAATCTGAGCTCTGGAATAAAATTTTCTTTTTCAAGCAACTACCAGGAGAACATCTACATGAGACATGGGATCGATTCAAGTTATATTTGGCGGGGTAGCCTAATCATGGTTTTCTGGATTCTATCTTGTTGGAGAAATTCTACATGGGTTACGATGCTATGAACCAATCTATAGCCAAGAATGCAGCTGATGGATCTTTTATGGATAATACATTTGCAAGGATCACACAAATCCTTCACAAAATGGCAAAACACAACCAAGCTTCTCACTCAGAGGACATTACAGGTGGAATTGCATATGGTACTCCTTCCTTGACGAGCATGATTAAGGAGAACCAAGAAAGAGATCAAATAATCACCGGACTTGCCACAAACGTCAATGTGTTGATGAAGATGTTCAGTAAAAGCCAAACAAAAAAGGTAAATGTGGTGGAAGATGTTCAACCCATATCAAATGAAGATTATGAGTAAGCAAATTATGTCAACAACTATCAAGGAGGCTATCAAAGGAAAGAATACCAAGGTCTAGGACAACAAAACTAATGGAGGCTTAACCCGTAATGGCAAGGCAACCAACAGTAGCGAAATGACCAAGGTAGTACAAATCAAGGGAATTTGAGTAACAACAACAACAACTTTTCAAAGGAGTTCAAACACTTATATTCCACCAAAAGGGAAATATTCAAATAAAGGTTCCTCAAGTGATTTCAAGTTGGAAAACATGCTTGAATGGGTATTGCAAATCAAGATAGTTTGACACTTTAATTAAGAACATGACCGAGCTTGTCCGCTATCATAACACATCTATTCAAAAGTTAGAGATGCAAATGAGAGATCTCTCAAGAGAACAATATCCAAAGAATAAGGGGACACTCCCAAGTGATACAATTGTATACCCAAAGGGTAGTGGGAGCGGTCCAACTTCTCATTGCATGTCAATTACTACTCGGAGTGGGAAAGTACTACAAGGAGAGAGTGAACAAGTGGTTGAAGTGGAAGATTTCGAACAAGAAGTTGAGGCACAAGTTGAAGAGCTAATTGTTGTTGAAGCTAAAAAGGTCCTGGAAGAGTTGAAAGTTCAAGAAATGAACCGGGAAGAGGTTAAGGAAAAGGTAAAAGAGACGCCAAAAAATCTACTACCAATTCCTAAACCTCCCCTCCTTTACCTCAATGACTTGCTAGGAGGTTTGATGAAAGCAAACTCTAGAAGTTCTATGGCATTCAGAAACAATTATTAATAAATATTCCTTTTGCGGAATCATTTCAAGAGATGTCGGGATTTGCTAAGTATTTGAAAGACTTGATCACCAAGAATGAAGTGGTGAATGTGACTCACCAGGTTAGTTCCATCATTAGAACAACCCCCATTCAAAGGAAAGAAGACCCGGGAGCTTTCATCATTCCATGCACTATTGGGGCGCATGATTTTGCAAGAGCTCTTTGTGATAATGGGGCTAGCATCATCTTAATGACTCTTTCTATTTACAAGCAAGCAGGGTTAGGTATGCCGAGGCCTAAAAGTATGAGGTTGCAGATGGCCGATCTTTCAATAAAGAGACTAGTGGGAATTGTTGATGATGTGCTTATGAAAGTGGGAAAGTTTCATCTACCAGCCAACTTTGTGATCCTTGATTGTGTGATTAACAAAGAGATCCCTATCATCTTCGGGAGACAATTCCTTGCAATCGGAAGAGCAGTTATGGATTCGGAACGAAATGAGATCAAGTTTCGAGTCAATTATAAAGAGGTCACATTCCATGAAAGCAAAGGTATAAAGTTGCCAAATGCATATGAAAGCATCTCAGTCATTGATGTTGTCGATGAGGTAGAAGACACAATTGAGATGAAGAGGAAAGAACAATTCCTTGGTGAGGCGTTAGCGGCTCTTTTGGTAAACTTTGATGGTGAAGACAAGGAGGGGTACATGGAATCGGTAAATGCATTAGATGGGCTTGGGTCCTACACTTATGCTCCAAAGAAACTCTCTCTTAACTTAGTGAAAATAGAGTCACTCCTCCTGCCAAACCTTCAATTATTAAGCCGCCGCAATTTGAGCTCAAACCATATCCACTGCACTTGAGGTATAAATTTCTTGGCTCTAATGACACTCTACCATAATCGTTTCTTCTTTGTTGAATGATGTGCAGGTAGAACAAATGTTGAATGTCTTGAGGGAGCATAAGCAAGCTATTGGGTGGACAATAGCGGACATCCGAGAGATTCTTGCTGGAATTTGTGATCATAAGATACAATTGGATCAAGAGAGTAAAGAAAGTGTGGTGCATCAATGAATGTTAAACCCTTCAATTCAAGAGGTAGTAAGGAAAGAAATCATTAAGTGGTTATATGTCGGGGTAGTCTACCCCATTGCCGATAGTTTTTGGGTGAGTCTGGCGCAATGGGTGCTGAAGAAAGGAGGCATGACCTTGATTGAAAAAGACAAAAATGAGCTCATCCCAACAAGAATAGTGACTGAATGGATGGTTTGCATGGACTACAGGAAGCTAAATAGTGCTACATGAAAGGACCATTTCCTTATGCATTTTATTGATGAAATGCTTGATCGGCTAGCAGGAAGGTCATTCTATTACTTCTTGGATGGATATTCCGGCTATAACAAAATCAATATCGCATTGGAAGATCAAGAAAATACAACATTCGCATGCCCATATGGGACGTTTTCCTTTAGACGTATGCTATTTGGACTATGTAGCGCTCCGGCTACTTTCAAAAGGTGCATGATGTCAATCTTATCAGACATGGTGGAAGATTTCTTAGAGGTGTTTATAGATGACTTCTTTGTAGTGGGTGATTACTTTGAGCATTGTCTTGACAATCTTAGTGTATATGGCAAAAATCAGCAATTCGATTTAACGATCATCAAGGCGTCTCGAGGTTTCCCAGTGATCGACTTCGAGGATTCTCAATGATCGACTTCGGAGGTTCTCAATGATCGACTTCGAGGTAGTGTAAGCAACAACCGGCTTCGAGGCAGTGTAAATCAGTGGCTTCGGTGGATCCAGGTGAGGTTCCCAAGGCATGTGACCAGAGCTAACAAAGCCTATTAAGCTAGTCCATGCCCACGTCATGGCATTAAATGGTTGTATCAGCCTCATGTCATTGTAATAAATGCATTTGTACTATGTTGAGATTATCCTCATATATAAAGGAGATACTTTTCATTTTGTAAACGATTTGATTCTAAATATTGAATATACAAGAACATTCTCTCCGCTCTCTAACATATTCTCTTGATCTCATTACTTCCATTTATTCCTTATATTCATTGCGTTCTATTTATTGTTCTTCATTTATTGCTTATTATTGGCGATAAAGAGTCGTCATTGAATTTATCATAATTGCATTCTATTTATCATAATTGTTACACCATTAGGTTTGGTTATCACATTATTTTCAAGCAATTATCTTGGTTCCAGGTTTTTCACTTAGCATCAATTGCCTAAAAACTAGCACAAAAATAGATCACATATTTTTAGAACCACAAAATCAAATCTAATTGTAATTACCATTTTCAAGCTAAATAGTTTGGCTCCCACCGTGGGGCTAAAAATAATAGTGATTATTTCCCTGCTGGGTTACTACATAACGCAAGTTACCTTTCACACTTTATCTTGTCCAAGATCTTTGATTTCAGGTCAAAATGTCTAACTCAGTAAACGCACGTGAAAACAACAATTTTTAGGGCCATGGAGAGAATGGTGTGGATGTTCTAGGTGTTGGTGTACCACCACAAAACCCTAAGAATGCACCAAAACCAATTCCCATGGACGTGGTCTCGCGCAACGCTAAACACGTTGAAATAAGCTCCCACACCAACAAGAGTATACACCAGGAAGGTCAACATGAAGCACAAAAACCCTGGTTAAGGAAGAACAAGGTGTTAGCCTTCACGTCATCTTCAAAATGTTACAAGACAATAGCTGGCGATTGCTCAGAGAAAGCCACCAAAAGAATCCCAGCACGGTAGCTCGGGAAATGTCTCCCCGAGCCGAGCATGTGCCATAAATGTCAAGCAACAATAGGTCGGCAGCCGACCCCGCCATCATAAATATGCTCGAAGACCTCACAAAGAGGATCGAGTTGGGCAAGAAGAAGATAGAAGCCAACGACAAGAAGGTAGAGACCTACAATTCTTTGGTCGATCAAATTCCGGGCGCACCCTTGATTCTGAAAGGTGTAGATTCGAAAAAGTTTGTACAAAAGCCATTACCACAGGAAGCGGCCCCAAAATCTGTTCCAAAGAATTTCATAATGCCCAACCTTCCAAAGTACAATGGAACCTCGGACCCCAACGAGCACATCACTGCTTACACTTGTGTAGTGAAGGGCAACGACTTAAAAGGACGACGAGATCGAGTCCGTCCTACTAAAAAGTTCTAGGAGACGCTTTAAAGGGGGGCAATGATGTGTTATCACAACCTCGCCCAAACTCGATAGATTCATTTGCCATGCTGGTAGATTCTTTCATAAAGGCACATGTTGGTGCCATCAAAGTAGCTACAAGGAAATCCGACGTCTTAAAAATCAAGCAATGGGAGAAAGAGATGCTGTGAGAGTTCATATCTCGTTTTCAAATGGAACGAATGGAACTACCACCGGTCTCTGACGACTGGGCGGTGCAGGACTTCACTTAAGGTTTGAATGAGCGAAGCTCGGTAGCTTTGAAGAAAAACATAGTCGAATATCCCGCAGTGACTTGGTCGGACGTCCACAACCGATACCAATCAAAGATCAGGGTCGAAGATGAACAACTAGGAGGGCCCGTAGGCTCGGTATATCCTAGCAGTCTCCCAGCAAAGGAGTCAAAGTTGAATAAAGAGAGATACCAACCATACACTGAAGATAGAAGAAACGCCCCAAGGTGCACCATACCCTACAATGATCGGAGGATGGATTGATGCCAAAATCCTCGAGGACTTGTTAGCAAAGCTGGATTCGATAGGCACATAGGGCCGACGGAGGTGCCCTGCTTGTCGGAATACAACTTCCACATTGACTTTCAGACATCATATACGCCATTAGTGAAATCAGAGACACCAGGTGGCCTAGGCATGTACAATCAGATCCTTTGCAAAGAAACTATAACTTATTGTGTGAATTTCACAACACACACAACCATAGGACCGAAGATTGCCGGCAACTACGGGAAGAAGTAGCCCGAGAATTCCATAGCGATTGGGCCAAAATCAGTTCCGGGAAAGAGAGGCGACCAAGAATAATGAAACAAATGAGCCACAACATGTCATCCACATGATCTTAGGAGACATCAATGCTCCACAAGAACCCATGATCAGAAGAACCAAAATATACATAACCAGAGAAAAGCAACATCGAGGTTACATTGCCGAGGATTCTCTCACATTCAGCGACGGCGACATTGAAACCTCGTCTCAGCCTTACAATGACGCACTGATAATCTCTTCCCTTGTAAATATATTTCAAATTAAACATGTACTTGTGGATCCAGGTAGCTCGACAAATATTATTCGGTCTAGGGTGGTAGAGCAGCTCGAACTATTTTACCAAATCGTGCCCGCCTCTCAAGTCCTCAACAGGTTCAACATGGCGAGCAAAACAACGAAAGAGGGGGTCACCCTCCCAGTCAACCTGGAAAACACAACCCAAAATGCCAACTTCCATGTCATCGAAGGAGAAATAAGGTACGACACCTTGTTCATGAGGCCATGGATACGCTGCATGAGAGCAGTACCATCCACCCTCCATCAAATGATGAAGTTCCCTACAAAGGATGGGGTAAAAACATTCTACGGGGAGCAACATGCAGCAAAAGAGATGTTCATAGTGCATAATGTGGAACCAACAACAATACCTCCACTATCGAAGGAGCCGAAGAATAAACAAACAGTGAGATAGAGATAACAAGCTACATTCTAGGCTATGGCCGACTAAAGAAAACGAAGGGCCGTACCGAGTCCTCAAACCAAACGATTGAATCTCATCGAGGTTTGAAGTGCCGTCAGCACTAAGGTATGGTCATCTCAATTTTTCAGTTACATTTTTTACAAACATGAATGTAGGTATCCGATCTAAATGACCGAAGTACTTTCCAACTCGAAGGCCTTAGGTTCCAAAAGCATACGTTGCACTCTTTTCCATCGACCAGGTTTTTATCCCAAGAAGGGTTTTACCAGCAAGGTTTTTAACGAGGCAACATTTTATGCTACCTAAGGAAGACTCAACAAGTATTCAAGGATTTTTAGCAATCAACCTCGAATAGTGGGGGCATCCCCCGGAAGGTCACCTCCTCGAAGAAGCCAAGATGTGCTGAAGGGGGTCTCGATAGGAAAATAATGTACCGGGCCAAATGATCGAACGAACCGTGTCCGTATGGAATAACCGAGTCCTTAACAGCGAAATATGTATACTTCTACCAAGTAATCAAAGAATACTTTCCCCTTGAAGCTCGAAAACATGTATACTTGTACCAAGTAATCCAAGAACCATGTCCGTATAGAAGTCTGTTATTTTTTGCAAAAACGGCTACAGAGCCAAAAATGTCCCAAACACTCGGGGACTGGCGTAAACAACTCGAAATTGAATGACCTTCGGGTCGGAGCTTCAAACTCGTAAACCCTCAATAAGGCAACATCAAGTCCACAAAACGGCTCCAGAGCCAAAAATGTCTCGAACACTCGGGACTGGCGTCAACAACTCGAAGTCGTATGACCTCCGGGTCGGAGCTTCAAACTCGTATGCCCTCAATGAGGCGAAATAAATTCACGAAAATGGCTCCAAAAGCCAAAAACGTTCCAAACACTCGGAATTGGCATTGAAAATTCAAGGCCACATGACCTCCTGGTCGAAAACTTCAAACTCGTAAGCCCTCGACAAGGCAATACCAAGTTTACAAGGAATGGCTCCTGAGCCAAGAAACTTTCGATTATTCGGGGACTGCCGCCAATTGCCACCACCATGGACTTATCAAAGAACCCGAGGCCATAAGACCCCATGTGGGCAGCCTCAGTCTTGTAAGACCTATATAAGGCAACAACAATATCTATAAGACCTCAAGCAAGGCATGAACCACACTGTAAGACCTCAAGCAAGGCATGAACCGTACTTGTACCAAGTAACCAACACTGTAAGACCTCAAAGTCATGTAAAACTTTGTAAGATCTTACAAAAGGCATAATCCTGATCTTAAAGTTAAGGCTATATATCGAACTTGTAAGACCCCTAAAAAGGCATACCCTCGATGTAGACGCCAAAAACTACTTCACTCGGGGACTGAAAGGCTCCAGCCAAACAC